CAGTTACCAGAAAGGGACATTCTTTCCAAAAGACAGTTCTTGGAGCATCCATAGGGGCACTACTCAATGTCAAGTGTGTATGTGCTTTCGATTGGAGATTTTCGGTAGTAATGCCCGTTAGGCGCACTCATACACCCTACTCATTCTCGTGCCATGCAACAAAGGCTACATAGGGCTGCATGGATGAATCTCCGTCAGTGCCTTCTCAACCACCTTGGCCTGAGACGGCGCATCCAGCATGCCCACTTCAATTGGTCAAGCTCGCCTCAACTAGTCTTTAGTTAATTGTTAGTTTTATTAGTTTAGTGTTTAGTATTGTTGAATTTGCTGGTTTTTGTAAGAGGATTGTGCCTTGTCTTTATTCCTCTCCTCCTCCTCCCCCCACTTCCTTCTTGGAGGTTCTCCCTCTGCTCGGAGATATGCCGAGATCACTGGGGTTCTGATCATGGCCGGCTCCAGGCACCAGCGCAACAAGCAGGTGCTTGGGGCGGCCAACAGAAAGGGGTGGCACATGCAGCTCTTTGGCGGTGGGTCTCTCAGTCCCTCTCGGAGGGAAGGACCTGCCCAGGGCCGTAGCAACAAAGAACGTGGCCCCCTCCGAACGGTGGCCCCCTCCGAACATATGTCCGGGCGGGGCCCCTTACAATGCAGAAACTGGAATGCGGTATTTATTTTGCCACTTTTAGGGGCCCCCTTCCTTGCGGGGCCCCCTCCGGTCGGAGGGTATGGAGGGCGCTCGCTACGCCTCTGGACCTGCCGCTGAATTGCCGCTGAAGAATGAAGCGGCGGAGGTAGAGCTGCCGCCGAAGTGCCACTGATTGCTGCTTTTTTTTTTGGCCGCTTGGGGCAGCAAAAACGCTGGAGCCGGCCCTGGTTCTGATATTGTCTCACTTGCTAAGAGGTGATCCTAGTCAGTGACTGGCATTCCTGGTGCATTCGTTCTCTAGGAGAAACACATGTTCCACAGAAGTACAATCCCTGTTTAGCCCTTAAAAACAGGGCCAGGAAGAAAAAGGAGATTAAGCTGAGGAGGTTTTATGATGGAGTGCTTCCTCTGCCTCACCTCAGACCCAGGGCAGGAGATTTCCCCTCCCACGCCCACACACTAGTCTCAGCAAACATAGCGCCCCTTCAGCCTCAGCCCAGTCTTCACCTCGACCTTCCATCCTAAAGTGACCCTTTGCATCATCTGGATACGTGAAAATTAGGGTTAGAATTTAGTAACTGGTCAGATATATATCAGGTTTTTATTTTGTGTGGAGCAGCGCTTAGTGTCAGAATGCTTGTTACGGACTTATATACATTAGCTTTCAAATAATAATCTTAAATAATATAAAAATAATATTCTTCGTGCAATTGATATTCATTATCTTATTTGTTAATGAGCTGGCAACTACAGTACCACTTAAAAAGTCACTATTTGCTACTTGGCAGTATTTTCAGTTCATGGAGTTTGTTCCACTGCTGTTCCACTATTCATAGAATCCCTTTTCAAGCACTTGTGGATACAGATGGTTGAAATGCCATGTAAAATTCTTCTCTTAGATGCTCCTGAAAGCAAATAGCTCCTTACATGTGCAGTACTCCCATTTGGTCTGAAAGCATGGGATTTATCTCTTAGAGTTGGACATGTGTTACAATCCCATTTCCATGAAAGAACCTCAACATGGTGCTATTCCCTTCCATTTGCTTCTATCATTATGCATACATAGGTGTATTTGTGCTGTACTATAAATTTGGTGGTGTTTCTAATGACATTCAGAAATTTTTGCAATCTTTTAAATGTTGCAGGGTTTCTTTCTTTGTTTCTTTCAGCAGCCCACTTTGATGAATGACAGGTTTTCATCCTTTTTCATATGTGGGGAAAAAGCAGCTTTGATTCCCTTTCTCCTGAGAAATTTTACAAAATATTCCATAAGTCATCTTCAAACCAATGGTGTTTCCTTCTTTCAAGGTTCTTGGGATCATTTTCTTTTCTCTGAAGTCATATGCCATCTTGTAAAGATACATAGCAGTCTTCAAATTCACTTTTGTGTCCTGGAAAGTTGATCTAAGAAATACATTTTTCTACGAGATGATAAACTTGTCATCAAAATGTAAAAATTGTCTTTCATCCAATCAGAATTTTTTTCCTACCAGCTAAAACATTGATCTTGCAACTGACCACATGCAGATGCACCACTGTTCTTTCTCTGAGCTCCATTGCAATGGGTGAGGTTCCGTGTGGGTGCACATCTGTGCAGGTGTGTGGTCAGTTGCTAGATCAGGGCCTTAAAAAGTAATAAACTGCATTTGTCCACCTGCAGTTTTCCTTTTAGAGTCTACTAGTAACTGAAAACAATTTATTGGGGGAACTCAGTATACGGTTATAATTAACTTAGCAACAGTGACTGTCACACACAAATCTATTACTTATTTTGTGTACAAGATTCTAAGAGTTTTATAAAAATAAATAAATAAATGTGTTAGTCTTTAAGGTGCTACCGGACTCCTCATTGTTTTTATAAAAATACAGCAGTTAAAATAAATAGAATGATTAGCAACAATCAGAGGAAACTTACAGTGCTTGCTGGGAAAACTGATCCAAGATATGTTTATACCTCAAGCACAAATTAACTCGCCCTTACTTGGGATCGCCTTCTTTGTATGGTTATTTGTATTGAGTGGTTATTTGTTCACTAGTCAGCCTCAAACATGTTCTAGGTGCTTGATAGACAAGAAGGAGAATTAGTATGAAGAGATTAGTGTGGCTTTTTTTTCATGAGCATCAGTACAATGAGATATTTTGATGTTCTATATCTGTCTAAGGCTATGCCTACACTTGTGGTGGCATAACGAGTACAGACTCTGCATGCCCCCCAAGCATGGGTATAAATAAGCAGTGCTTCACCATCCACACTGCTAGATGAGTAGAGCAAAGACATGCTAGACCCTTAGGCTATGTACCCTATATGGCTCTCTACATGCCCGAGCAGTGCCTCTCCTGTCTATGCTCTTATATTTAGCATGTAGCATCCTGCTTCTGGAGCCTTTTCCCGCCACAGAGAAAGGCTTCAGCAGTGGAAAACTGCCAAAGCTTTTCCCCGCTACCTCTCCCCAGCCAGAGCTTTTCACTGCTGCATGTAACTACATACCACAGTCTGGCTGCAGCCTGCTTTCCTATATAAATTGTAGCTATACGTACCCTACATGATGCTCCCGGTGTAGACAAGGCCTAAGGAATGTTGTTGCTGGTCAAGTTTTTGTTGGAAATACACTGCTTGAACGTTGAATTGTACTAATTATAGCTTGGTTAACTTATTTTTTTAATAATCTAGTTTCGGTACCAGAGTTTCTCTATCTTTCTTATATTGTCTTTTCTCTAATGAATTCCTTCCTACTTGTTCCGTAGTATCAGTCAATATCCATGTACCCATAGAATATAAAATCTTGTAGCTGTAAAAGTGTGACATTAAATCTGGAAATTCAAATGCAGAAGTTGTAATTGTAATGTCTCTAGGGTTCTTTGTGGTTGTGTTAAGTAAACCTTAGTTTTGTTTGTGGAGTTTGGCTTACTTAGAATTTGCATATTCTGTAAAGTAAATTATTCCATTCATTGTGAGAATTTGAGCAGTAATCTGGTGACATGATATTCATACAGAAAAGCAAGTATTTGAAAGTCTTTCTAGTGGGAGCTCTCTGTTCTGAGTTGTAATACCCCTGTTGTCATTTAGGCCGTTGTGTAAGTATTCCCTTGGTAGAAGTGGGGATCCAAAAGAATTTTTATCATTTTTTTTTTAATGATTGCTTTCATCCCACAATTTTACTTTCTTAGCTTGCTGCAGTACAACAAATTAACCTGCTAGCAGCTAATCTAGCGTGTGAATTGATATAATTACAAAACCTCCACAACCATGCGAGTTGGTAAAAAGCTAGTTGTCAAAGCAAACCTTTTTCTAACTGTTGCTTCAGTTCTGTGGTTATAGGAGAGGAACACCCGAAACCGGTAACAGTAGCAGTGGAGATAAAGTTCTCGCAGTCTCCTGAAGTAATGATATCCCATATTTATTTTCATTGCACAGACATTTGATGTGCCAGTGTCTTGTCTGAACAGAATATACCCCCACAGAAAATTGGGATGTTAAATGTTCACAAGTTAAGGCATTGCTCCAGTAGCAAATTTTCATCAAGATGTTCTTGTTCAATAATAACAACAACAATCCCTAGTTCTCATACAGGAACGCTAGCACTTACATCCAAACAAAAACACAAACTTCTGTGATTTCTGTAACTTGTAGTTTTTGTGTTATATGCAAATTTATGTGTTCAGATTTGTGTTGTTATCGGAGATATTAATGTACGCTGAAGAATACCAGACCCACAATCAACCCCTTGGGGAATTGATACGTGTTCTGCACACACATGCCATTCCAATGTAACACCATTGATTACTTGTGGCTTGTTATCTTTAGGCCGTATTTTTACTCACTTAACTGTAATTAGTTTTTTCTCAACTGACATTAATTGTGGACACAAAAATTGGAACTGGTCTTTTAAAATGTGGCCCATTTTGTCCTCTAGATTTGTTATACCCCTGCCTATTAGTACATAAAGCTATTTGCTGTGTTTGGCATGGCATCTGTGTTACGTATCTGTGTTGGCTATAACACTAAAGGTTCCTCTGCTGTATTGGGTAGGTTGTGGCTGGTTCTGGATGGGTATGCAAACTAGGAAAATGTCTGCATTCCTGCACCATCACCCAACCACAGTCCTTGGGCTCCGTGAAGCCTCTTCACTGTGAACGCTTTGAGTTCTGGTGATAATTATACTTTTTTTTAATGCTCTCAAGCTACGTTTAATTGATAAAATCATACTTTTAGTAACCTTTGTTAAATTCAAGATATTTCATATTGGTAGGAAAATGGATTGTGTGTTCACACTGAACACACAAACTTGGGAAAAACTCTGTAGGACCACTGCAAAAATAATTAAAATAAATCTTGTTTTTTTTCTACCAACAGGCATTTATCAGGCCATTTAGAGAGCATCATATTGATCCAACAGCAATAACCAGACATGACTTCATTGAGACCAATGGAGATAACTGTTTGATAACCATAATTCCACTGGCCTTCATGTTATATAAATTCCTCTCTCAAACACCAGGTAAGCTTGTATTATTTTTTTTTCTTGGTGGACAAAGAGGGGTGAGCACCTCTTGTCATAGTCAAGGGATTCTGAGGTCTGGTTCTCTACTGTCTTGCAACTTGTATTGTCGTTGACACCACTGCAAAGTTTTAATGTTTGCAGGTTGGAATTTTCCACTCACTCTGCACGGGTGTAAATGATGAAAAAAGGTGTGAGGCAATGGGAAATCAGGCCCATGATTTTTACCACTGAGAGATTCTAAAGGTAAGGATTGTCTTTTTCCAAAGTGCAGTCCCTTGTTCACTAGCTGTGGCAGCTGAAAGTGTGGGCTGGAGATATGTTTTGTCGTTAATGCTCAGCTTGTCGCTTGCTGTTTCTTTTCCACAGAGTCTGTGCTGAAGTGCACTGACTGTGCTGTCGCTGGTGTAGGCATGGAGCAAGGAGAATGTTGAACCAAGGATCGTGGGCTAAGTGAGCCTGGAAAAGTTCAGGTTTTGCGGGCAGCCACACAGATTGGTTTCAGATTCTGCAAATTTGCCAATCTCATTCCTTTGCTTTGTGCTCCAGGGACTCAGTCTTGGAGTGCCAGACTCTTCTGGGACTCAGTCCGCTCTCTCCTCCTCTCCACACTTCAGGGAGAAGGACTACTGCAGTGCAGGCTGCTTCTTAACTGACCACATCTCTATGTCGCAAGAGCTCCTGCCCACCAAGACTTCAAGGACCTAGTGTCCGAGACTGAGGCTGTCCTGGGCCAGTGTCTGAGAATCTCCTCCCTTTACTCTGCCACCCGGTGGCAAGTCTTTGCTTGGCCAATTGATGCAAGTTGCAGTGGAATATCACAACATTCTCTGCTGAGCTGAACTCTGCGTTCAGGTTTATTTGGGCTAGGTTTGAAAGGTTTGGGTGCGGCTGGCTCGAATTTCCACTCACACGTTCACCTGGCCCTGCTAATAATGAGCTGAATTTCATATTGCCCGTACTGCACAGCCAGCTTGCTGCACAGAATCTTAACAGCCTTAATAATTCCCCTAACCATCCAATTAGACTAATAATAAAGGCTTAATTACATATCCAGTTAATCATCAGATTTGTTCACGGAACAGCTTTAATTGGTAGATATAGCTGTTACAATTTTCCAGTTTGAAAGCTATCACCCATTTTTGCTCACAGCTATATTCACCCAACTGTTTTTATGATTGGGACTTGACCGGCTTTATTAAGACAATAAAAAGGCTCAGGAACTAAGAAACCTAACCACTCACTGCTATTGCAGCACCCTTCTACCAAACGCTGCCTGTGTTCAAGCCTGACCCTCTGATTTATAGCGCTTTGTTCTGCACGTGTTCAAGGAACTCCAAATAGCAAATGGCTTCTTTACAGGTTTCCAAAAATGAAGCTGTTCTGTATTCTGCCCAGGTAGTTCCCACAAAATGATTGTTAAAGACTCTGGGACCTGGAAGCCCCTTGGCTTTGTATGATTCAATAATGCACCACCTAAGCCATTTTGTAATAGATCCTTCAGTAGCCCTGAGTCTTTTCTTATTATGGAAACATATAAATTGGCTCATCCTGTAAAACCCTTCAGTTTTAAAAATGTAAAACCTAATTGCCTTATGGACATTCAAAGAACGGAGGCGCTTCTCTGGGGAGGTTTTGCACTGAACCAAAAGATGACAGAACTAGTTACTGATTAAAAAGAATGGAAGAGTTAACCTCTTGATGCCAGTTGTCAGGCTTCCCCCCACATTCATATTTTCTGTGTGGCTTTAATTGCTACTGTGTGTTTTTACACCACAAAGATGTGATTTTGTTTTCTTTGAGGTTCGATGGGGTAACTGCTTACAGCAACCTCGTTGTCTTAATCAGTTTTTCCTTTGTGCTTTTTAATCAGGTGATCTGTCCAACTGAGACTAGCATTCCCTCATTTAATAAACCTCCTGATATCCCTTCTGTGCTCAGAAGACCCATGTGTAAGGTTCAGCCTCTGCTGACAATATTGGTCTTTGCTGTATGTTCCAAATGTGTCTCTTTGAAATCACCTTAATTTAAAAAATAAAATAAAATCTTCTACTTCCAGTGTGTCCAGAATAATGAATCTGCTTTAACATAAATAATTTTCTATCAAAGTCTAAGAAATGGCCATATTTTTAGGAAGCATTACACCCCAGGGAAATAAATGACATATAAAAATGAACTTTCAAAGTGTTGGTCTATAGAAAAAGGAGCAGTGTGTGATGGCAAAAAATGAATTTCTGTGAATTAGCACAACTCATTATTCGTGCTATACACACCTTACTGTCTTACATTCCCTGTACTTAGCTGGAATATAAAATAAAAAAACTGCAGCCCTTCTCCCTGGCCCTCAGTGGCGGTCTCTCTGATTGGATGCCACCTACAGCATGGCAGAGAGCATCAAGGAGCTAGAAGCTGGGAAACATGCAGAGTAACCGTTTCTTAAAGTGCATGTCACAAGTCAGCTTTATATATATTTTGTTAACGTATTCTAGATTTAACAGACACTTCAGTTCCCACTAATAACTCATTTAAGAGGGGGAAGAAACATGCAGATCAAGAGCACTTTGACAACATGTGATTCCATAGCTGAATCCTTTAAAAAAATGGAATAAAAGATTTCAGAAAATACACAGATGGATAACTTTTCAAGTGAGAGGAATTGAGAATTATGTCCTATATAATGCTTAAATTCAAAGCTTTTTGTGGCAGGGACTCTCTGGATTTTGTCTAGTACAGCGCCAAGCATATTGCATTTAACAAATAATAAACGTAGTGTATAGATTTCCTATTAATTTTCCTTCAAATAATTTGCAGAGCTATTCACAATGCGCTTATATTCTTACCACAGCAACATTAACTTCTGTAATCTGGGGTCAGGGAGACAGACACTAACTGAATAATCAATTCACCTCTCTGTTCATCAGCACTGTATTTTCGAATGTCCGTATGCAAACCAGATGTAGGTAATTTGGTCCACGGCTTGCTCCTGCAAAGTGTTGAGCACTCTTGAAAGGTGCTGAGTCCCCATAACTAACCCGGGCCTTAATAAGAGAATCTAGTCATGGCAAGCAATCTTCATTTCCCCCCAGTGTTCTTTACATAGCACTCCTGGGGAGTCTTGTTGGCCACGTTGGAAGATTTTCGACACTGTCCTTCTTTAGCTATGTTTTAACTAGCTGATGGTATCTGAGCAGCTGCAAGTGGAAGAGTTAACTACTGAAAATCTTGGATTCACATTTATGCAGTTTCTCTATCATGGGGCTGTGGGCAACAATGTTAGGAACATCTACCAGTCATTAAAAATCTTCCTAACATGTCATGTTAGGTTGTTGACAAACCAGTTCAAAGGCTGAAAAAGGGACAATGTGAAATGGGTGCAAACAAAGAAGAGGCATTTAACCTCACATTCCACAAGGGATATTTGATAGAGATGAATTTGAACTAAAACATCAGATCCAAATCGCCTCAAACTCTGGGGAAGTGCAGCTCTAGATCAGAACTTTGCAGGTCAGGCTCAGCTCTTTGTCTTAAGGACGTTTTAGAGAAGCCGTGGAAACTCTGGGAAGAACCTATCAAGTCTTGGGGGATTTTTTATAACCAAAATAAATCTCTCCCCTTTCCATTTTTAGTGCAAATGGAAAGAACCATGTGTGCAGTATGTTATGGAACAGTTTTGAATGCTGAGCCTCCTGTACCTTTAACAACCCCAAATCTCACTTCCTTTTTATGTTTTGCCTTGTGATTGAGGAAGTAGATGAGACCAGAACTTCCTCCCCATTAGCAAATTAAAAATCCTCACTAAGGCTCTATGGTTTTATGACCCTCTGTGTTATTTCAGTATTATTGGATTCTGTAGGAGCTTAACAAGAAGCCCAATTTTGAACTCCACAATCCTCCATGAAGGCTGCTCAACTTTTGTCCTCACCCATCATTCACAGGGATAATTTTTGTCTATTTAATTTTTAAATAGAATCTATTTTTTTTAAATCAAGCACTTAGAGTTCATTGGTTTGGAATTTAGCACATTGTTTTTATATCTGCTATACACTGTTCATTGTGACTACCAAATCATCAGGCTGAGATTCCTTGATTTATCCCTGCCATTATACAGTATAGTACCTGGCTTACAACCATATCAGGAATCTTTTTTGGTTTATGATGGTTCATTAAGTGCCTACAATTAAGCATCTGTTCAAACTAAAATGTTAAATTTTTATGACATTTGGGTTCAGTACAAATGTCATATTTCAGTACTTGGCTCTTAAATACTTTATTTATTATGACTTCTTAAATTTACCTTTTTATCCCTTTTTTCGGCAGTTATCCTGTTGCTTACTCTCACTTTTCCAAAGCTATCTGCCACTCTGCCCTGCCTCTCTGACCCATCGCATTTTCTTGCCCCCCGCCCCTTCTGTTTCCTTCTCCCAGCTGCACCTCTTTCCTATGCATGAAACATGCTCTCTGAATCCCCATTTACTGAGCCACCATTTAATTCCCTCTTCCTCCATTTAATTGAACTCACTTCTGCCGTATCACCCACAGGTGTGGTAATTTAAAAAAAAAAACATATCGCATGGAATATGACACACTGCATGTGCCAAAATGAAGTTGCCGTGTGATCCTATAACTATGGTTCTTCCCTGCCTCTCCTCTTCCACCCGAACACCTCCCCCCCCACCCCCCCCCATTGTTCGTCCTGTCAGTAATTAACACGTTAGTTCTTTGGGGCAGGGGACAGGTGTTTTAATATATTTCTGTACAGCACCTGGCAGGCTTTTGTGCACTGTAAGTACAGGGGAACACCCAGGGTCAGTCTAGTAAAGTGAGTCAAATACACAGAGCAAGGATAGAGGCAGCATGTGTACAAGGAGCTGGCTAGAGAAGGTAGCTGACCTCCTCTCTGGCCCAGAAAAGCACCTGCAGCACGGAGTGGAAGTGAAGCTCTAAAATACCAAAGAGCTGTAGCAATGCTGGGCAAAAGACAAATCGGGGGACACTGTCAGAAAAGGGCCTTGAAAGTTCCAAGAGACTGTGTCATCTTAACTTTGTGGTTGCAGTGTGCTTAGGTTCTTTTTTTATACTAATAATATGTTGGAATGACACCATGATCAAAATGCCATGGAAACAGTCCTATATTCCCTACTTGGAAGTTTTGCAGATACAGACTGAGATTTTCAAAAATGGGTGTCTAAGGTTAGGCTCCTAAACAAATGACCTGGGCTCACAAAGGTTCAGGCTGTTTTGTTTACAACCGTAAAGAAGGATTTAGAACCCCGTCTTTAGGCAGCCCCTCCCCTTTTTGAAAAAAATCTTGGCATAAAATACACGTGATCAGTGTTTGGCTGACTGACACCACGATGTGTTGCTATTGTCATATAAAGAGACACTTCTTTCTGTCTTCAGGTTTTATTTAAAAGCCAGCGTATCTGGAGGGCTAATCAATTGCTAGGTCACTCCTTGTTTGAGAAAATGCCCTTGTGACCACATCTGTGGGGAAATACTGATGTGGAGCTGCAGTGGAAGGCCCCATGTGAATCAAGTGGGTGCTGCCAAACCCCTGAGTCAGAGATGCTCTGTGAGGGAGGCGTGTTGCTTTTTGCTGCAGAATCAGGATTAGCCTCTGCAGGAGCTGGGCCTGATAAGCCCCCTGGAGTCTTCAAAGCTGAAGTCATAGAAATTCATTTTTAAAATATTGAATATGGCTCTAAACTATTAATAAGGGAATGGATTTACAGGCACGCATCTTAATTTTAACTTGCCCCTCCCACCACTCTAGCGAAGCACCTGGAGGATTTGCAGTGTTTTCTACCATTTCGTGATTTTTGTCACTTGCATTTGGCTGCCATGGTGCCACCTCTTTATCAAACAGACATTTGAGGTCCCTGCTGCTACTGATCCTACTCACAGAGTGCTGCTGATTGACATGGACCAGAGTGCCCAGCATGGCTTGCTTAGGCTGAGAAAATGGGCGAATGCCCTCGCTCTTGCTCTCTCCCCCTCCAAGTCAGTCCTGAAACATTTGAGTATCTAAAATGGAAGCTCAGTTATTTTCTATGGGAATTATTGCTCATGTCAACTGCAAAGGGGAAAGTTAAAACAACAGCAACAACAACCACATAGTAAGGAAAGCCTCCAGAAAGCGAGAAAGTAGGTGATAAAAATAGGACATTTCCCCTACTGAATTTCGAAGCTGTATGACACGAGGGTTTTTCTTTCTTTTTTTTTTTAAGGTAAAACTACTTTTTATAAAGCAAAAGCAATTCTGGATTGATTGTAATTGATTTCCACCTACAATTAATATAATTGCATCTCATCCTGCTGCCACCGTTTAACCCGGAACTAGACAAGGCGCTGGCATGAGAGCAAATTTTAAAGTACTCGTAGTGATTTCACAACAGGCAGTGAGACTCTCCATATGTTCTAGATCCCAGCAAGGCAGAAGCCTGCTACAAAACTAGTACTGTAATTCTTGAACATACTTGCTCTTCTTATTAACGCAAACTTAATCTGAACAGGGCATGCAATGTAGCAAATAGCTTTGAGAGTATTGTAGGTATAATACTGGTTATGTTGGTAATTAAAATATGTATTTTTGTTAAAGGAGAGAGTATGCGACTATAATATATTTTAAAATTAATAATGTGGATAATATAAATTGTGTGCGTATATAATATAATATAAAATTATATAATGATAAACGAATTCAGCTATAATTGAGCCCCATCTGGTGGTGATATGAGGGAACAACTGATAAATTATTGCAATGGCAGAGAGAGATTGTTCACACAAGAGTTAAAACCTTTTTTCAAAAGACGTAAGTCTTAACTAATAAATGTGAGGCTAATTATATAATATCACTTTTAATCATACTATTCCTGTCTAATAGTCGTATCTTAAAATAATTGTCTTTATAACTGTTTATGTTTGTCTTGAGGGTTTGTGAATACGATCTCTTCTGTAATAAATACAGATTTAAGTGTCATGAGTAGAATTGCTCGCCTGTGCTGCACCGACTAGGAAGCCTTTTTGCTCTCTCTGATCCAAACAAATGCTCAAGAAATTGTTACAGATTACAGAAAACAGATTAAATTATTTGTGTGGACTCATTAGTGTAATCGACAAAGCTTGGCTATCACACTTTTTGCTCCTAGCTAATCTTTCACTTTCATGGGACTTTTCCCCCCATCAATGTCCAAAAACAAACACACAAAGAAAGAATGTGGATCTCACTGTCTCTCGAGTTGGCTGCTAGAGGATAGTAGGTAGCAGTCCTCTATTAAGACCTCAGGGTGCAACACAAAGTGCTTCAGTTATTATTACACAACATGGTAACAGTGTGTAGCCACTGTGAATAAAAACAACAAAACAGGGCCATAAAATGGAGTATATGCCCAGGGCATTTATGTACAGAAGCAAATGGCTGGGTGTCTCCATCTTATTTCTCCTCAAGAAGTAATCTAGGCTGACCTGACATCAAGGCCAGAGCGCCAGGGCCGGCTCCAGGGTTTTGGCCGCCCGAAGCAGCCACACAGAGGAAGCAAAAGAGAAAAGCCCGCCGTCGAGATCTGCGGCGGCAATTTGGCGGGAGGTCCTTCGCTCCGAGGCAGAGTCAGGGACCGTCTGCCGAATTGCCGCCGAATACCTAGACGTGCCGCTCCTCTCCAGAGCGGCCACCCCAAGCACCTGCTTGACAAGCTGGTGCCTGGAGCCGGCCCTGCAGAGCGCTGTGTGTGTGTGTTCATGTGCATGCACACACATTATATATTTGTGGGCATACATCCAATAGTCACCGATTAGAGTCAACAGTTTCCACAGTGGTCAGGGATTCCACAGCTCCTTTCTGTTCTAAATATACAGAAAAATTGTTACATGTAGGTTATCGCAGAATGGTAAATGTTGCCTTGTTGTGCTGAGCTGTGGCATGTGAAATAGGCACAACAAAAGGGTAACGAATGAATAAATAAAGTTTGTGAAGAGCAAAGAATGGCAGATGTGGGAATGGAAGTTAGGCTTTCCTATCTCCTACCCTTGTGCACGTTCCCTTGATGAAGTGGGCTTTGGGGGGGAATGGGGCAGGATGTAGATTCCTTTTACCGAAACCATTGGGAAATGGCTCCTGTTAGTTCAAGGGACTAAGAAATTGAGTGTATGACTAAATTTGCTATGCGCATACAGTACATTTCCTTTGTCTAATATCCAGCCATCAGTACTAGAAAAGAGCTAGGTGGTATCACCTTATTATCCTGTACATAAGGGAGGCAAAAGGGAACAATACCCATATGCTATTCAGCAGCTGCTAAGCCATTTCACAGAGGCTGCTTTACGAAGAGGAATGGCTGAAGTAGTTTATATGGGGAACTTATGCGATCCCCTGTGGAAGTGGTGGGGAAAGGAGGAATCACACAGCACCATAGTCCTGCGATGCACAGTTCTTACACGCTTAGCACCCCTATCACTTTGCCAAAAAGGGAGGGGGGGAGGTGCACTGGTTTCAGTGCAGTGGGACCTAATGCAGCACTAGCTGCTGGATTTTTAGGAGCTTAGCACAAACTCTATGTAAAATCGACTACATGTGCTGAGAGAGTTTTGGTGAATCGTAAGTAAGTCAGATTGAAATCATTTTCCACTGCAGCACTCAGCACTTCTCAGTGAGACCTATTTCCATGCCAGAGTTCAACTTTTTTTCCTCCTAGCTGTTTTGACTGTAGACCTTTTTATTTATTTATTTATTTTAAAGCACACTTTTTACAATGTGGAGTGTAAGTTAATAAGTGGTGTTTAGCATGGACTCATCTGTAGTTGCTGTGGCTGCTATTATGTCTGTGTGGTTATGTCTGCTTTTCATTAATGTCTTAGGACCCCCAAAATGAAAATAGCATAGGTTGGCTGTCTCTGTAAGCCTGAGGGTTGTCCACCTCTGGTTTAGACCTATTCAGGAAAAAACAGCTCATGGTTTATGTCATAAGCATTGTTTAGTCATTGAAGCTATTGTATAAGGGTAGCTATTGACGTCTGAACTGTTCTCTTGCCTATAACTATATCTCTGTATTACTGAACGACATAATCTTAGCTTTCTCATGCACAATTTGCTTTTAAAATTGAATGTGTTTGCATAAAGTCTTACACACTGCTTACTAATCAAATGGTTTTTTCCCCGTACAGAATATATACATGAGACATATGCTTGGGAGTGCTTTATTTTTGCGCTAGCTATTTTTGTCACAATGACTAATCAGATTCATAAGTGGTCCCATTCCTACTTTGGGCTGCCTCTATGGGTCACAGTTTTGCAAGATCTGCACATCATTTTACCGAGGAACCACCACAGAATCCATCACGTGGCACCCCATGAAACCTATTTTTGCATCACTACAGGTAAAATAAAAACTCTGAGAACCATGACATGTCTGATGTTGTGACATGGGGGGAGGCAGGAAGAATTTGGAAAGTTGAAAAAATGTATTGCTCTTGGAATGATTATTGCAAACTGGATATTTTCATTTGGTGCTGCTTCCTAATAGATGTGTTCACTTTAAAGCTGGAGCTTTAAATAAATAAATCTGGTGCTTTCTAGAGTGCAACGCTGAGAATTCTTCATCTTTCATGCTAAGTTAGACTGTTAGAAACTCTACTCATAGAGGAGAGAGCTGTTTCAGTGTAATACAGTACTGTCCTATTACAGGAACAGTTTTATGTAGTAGCATTCAACCCTTCATATATTGTATGATGTGTGTACCACAGATGGTAACATATATTTGCATAACTGAATGTAATACACATCATTGGCAATCAAATATTACATTAATGTGAAAAAAATTATTTAACATACCTGTGCTTATATTAAAATTCGTTCTCTGTAAATTGTTGCTGTAATTTTAAATTGACTAGAAATTCTATAAAAGGAAATCATGTTTTTAGATTGCTCAGGGCTTCAAGGACAGAAGCTACTTATGATTTAGTGAAGCTAGTTTGTACCAACTCTGTGTTGATGATTCTTTGATAATGTTTCAGATGAATCCATAATCATCTACTAAGTTTTTTTTATTTACTTCATTATTGATGATGCCTTTGAAAATTTGTTTTGATAGTCCATAATTTAAAAATAGATCTTAAATAGGGTAATTTAAGTGGAAAGCGTCTGTAATGCCCACAGAAGGAGTATTGAGATGGTGGCACTGAACAGAATACAAATCTCAAAGTACAGTGATCTGGTGGTGCATAAAAGATAGTGAATGAAGCTCAGGAGAATGATTCCCAGGCTAGTAAAAGCTTGTCTTCTCAAGGATGTGATACACTAGAAATGTAAGAATGCATGGCGAGGGTGGAAGAAAGAGAATGGGGGCAGATGGCGTTAACATTACTTTGCAACAGCCCTTTGACATGTACTTTAAACATTATCATTAATGTATGGGTTGGCAATGGCTTTAGGTTATGCTTAAGAAGAGCAGTAACTAGCAAGTTATAATATTTTAGCAAGGGGAAAGACAAAAAAGAGACATGATTGAGAACATATTTTTAACTATCAACACTTTTTCCCTTCCAGGCTGGCTAAATTACCCCTTGGACAGAATAGGATTTTGGAGGAAAATGGAAAATATTATAGAAGCATTAACAGGTCAGAAACCTCGAACTGATGATTTACAGTGGGCATGGAAGATGCAATAAAGCACTCTTTAAAAAAAAAAAAAGAACTAATATGTCATCTACAGGAAACAAGCATCTCTTTAGCACAATGGATTTTAACCTCTGGCACAATGAGTTTATGAAAACTTTGAAATTCTGCAGAGCATTGTTTGCAATGTCACAGAAGAATTTTATGATTTGCCAGCTTGGATATCTTTAAGAGTTGAAACACAATGATATTTGGAACATACAACCATTGAATATAATTGCTAATCTTAATTGGTTTTAAGAGACTATTATGCCTGATGTTGTATTTATTAGGACGTCTGTATCCTGTTACTGTGCTTAGGTGGATACTCACAATGCATCTGACTTCATATATGTACCCAGAAAAAAAAAGATATGTTAATTAACATAAAGTACATTTTGGCTTCAGTGTAAGTAAGATACATAAATTGGCTTTGTGCCATTGTATATTGAAGAGTTTGTATTGTTTAATTTGCATGATGCAATGTTTCAGTATAGGCCTAAGGAGTAATTTGACTAGATCTTTATTTTTAAACAGCCGAATTTTAAACTTCTGTGTTTTGGTCATGATTTTTAAACTGAGATTCCATTTTTGTTGCCACCGTTTTGCAACCCACAATGATTTGGTCACTTAGTTTTTCCCTTTAATTCATTCATCTATTTTCCTGCAGGTATGAAATGTGGAGGCAATCTACCGTAGGTACAAAATTGCACCAATAGAAATGAAGCTCAGGTTTGAAAATGAGGCCTTTTATACTGTTTAATGCTAGGAAGTCTTAACCACTGTTGTTTGTTGTTGTTAAATATTTATATTTCAGTGGCTCCAATCCAAATTAGTGGTTTCCATTTTGTAGGCTCTGCACAAGGACATAGTGCCTACCTCAATGATCTTATGATTTGAGTAGACAAGCAACATACAAATAATGGGGTCCGTAACTGTGGTTTTAAATTCTTTACAATGAGTGAAATATGCCTTTCAAAATCAAGACATTAATTTTAGTTAAATTAAGATTTCAATGAGAGAAATATGAGCATCTTAAAGCCATTTGTAATATACTTATCAAATGAAAACCCCTTACCAAATGGCTAGAGTGGGGCATATTGTAGAGTGGTTGTTTTTTTTAATGCTAGGAAGCAGTTTTACCATGTGTCTTTGACCTGATTCTGGTGTCACACTTATCTGCTGCTGTAATGCCATTGAGTTCTATGGAATTGTATCTGACTGATCCCTGATGAAGAAATGAGATAAAAACCAGTCTCTGGTTCTTAAATTTGGAATCTATCTTTCTCCTGCTGTCCCAACCCCCCAAAAATGTGTGTGGGTTTTTTTTTGTTTTTTTTAATATCTTGGGAATGGGGCAGAATTTATATTCAGAAAGAGCCGAAATGTTAGTGTGTCAATCTAGCTAAGCTGGTTGGTAGAGCCCCTCCGCATCTGATCAGTGATCCGCAAGCATGGTCTGCAGATACCACCGATATAAAGCGGCTATCCGCAGATTTTCAGAGATCTACTGGTTGGAAAGGGGCACTCTTGCGTGTGTTAAATCATTAGGAGGAGAGAGTAGGGGATTTTTCATTTGCAGACCCCTGAATAGTGTTCATCTGCAAAATGGTATGGTGCTAGGTTAACAGTGCTGAACAGTTAAGAACTTTGTCTCTCCTTAAAGGCTAATCATCAGCAATATGGGTTTGTGGTAATAATTCAGCTGTTCATTTTAGTCACCAGCCATCCATGATCATGACCGCAGCCAAGTCTCAGACTAAACAAAAATGCCTGTTGTTTATTCCTGTTGTCCTGCAAGATTTTTCTCCCAGTAAAATGATCCCATATAAATTGTGAACTTGTTCTGAATACTAGGTACAATTGTCAAAAGCAATTAAGGTCCCATTGAAAATCAGTGAGACTTAGGCATCTATGTCACTTTGGCACCTTGGAAAATTTTACCCACTGTGAACAAATGGACAGGCTCAGTCTAAGTACATGCAGTTAAAAGTGTTAATTGATTAACAATCCCGTATAGAAAGTAGGGTGGCCAGGTGTCCGGTTTTTGACTGGAAAATCTGGTCAAAAAGGGGACCTGACAGTGTCTGGTCAGATCTACTGATTGGATACTCAAAGTCTGGTTACTGCGGGTGGAGGATGCACCGGGTCGTCACCTGCGTCAGCCCCTACTCAGCCAGGGCCGCTCCCAGTCCCGGCTCCACAGGTGAGTCCCTTATGATCCGGGTGGGGGGAGGGGTGGAAGGGGAACAGCAGCTAGTGACAGGATAGGGGGCATGAGGAGTGGACGGAGCGGGGCCTCAGGGGAAGATGTGGGGCTTTTGGGGGAAGAGGTGGGGCAGGAGAGATTCTGACACTCCTGCTGGAGTGTTGGGTTTTTATCTGCACCTAAAGGGCAGAGCAACCACTCTGGCTAAACCAGGAAACCGGTTACTAGGATTTAGGAACGCTGATATGTGATTGGTTGACACAACTATAGGGGCCTACTCCTGGGAGATGCAGAACACACATGATTCCTGTTAAAGTCTGTAGGAGACAAAGTGGGAGGTTGACACATTCCAGGATGGGCCGGAGGGTAACAGAATACGGTCCTTAAGACACACACAGTGTGGTTTGTTGAAGATGATTTTATTTCCTTTAGGTATTTATCTACTATGTTAACAAACATTTCACATACAACAATTTAAACTCTTTGGTGGTTTGTGTGTGTGCATGCAGCAGACTGAACATACTGTATAACAGGAACTATAACTCACATTTATGAGGAAGAGGGAGGTTAAAAATTAAAAAAAAAAAAACTCTGTAAAAAAACTAGTTTCTTTGTATAATTAGGGCCAAATCCGGAGGGTTAAAGAAAGGGGAGCTGAAGCTATTCAGCACCGCTCCCAATCAGGGCACAAGCATATTGCACTGCCTTTGTGAATGTGTGAGGTAGCATAACGCCGATGCCTGGGTTGGTACAGTTATCTTTAGGGTTCCCTCTTACGGCTTGATGTTGCTCATACAGTTTTGTTTATTATTAAAGTGTTGATCCGAGATTCAAGTGCAGTAAAAGGGGGTTAGATCTAATGACAATCAATTGGAATCCAGTCTGAGCCAGTGAAATACAATACTACAATAAGTGGATCTAATTTTGGTTATTCAAATAACATCTTTTGAGTCCAATTAGTCTTTTTTTTTTATTAACCATAACATTTTGAAAATCTGTGTAAGTTGATTTCTCTTCTTTTAAAAAAAAATCAAAACATGAGAAGCTTTAAAGGATAGCAACAGATGGGAATTAATTTAATGTGCTGTTGTCATAACTTCAGAAAATTACAAACTGATCTAATGACAGTAAAATTTAGAGTAGGGAATTTAAGCTCTACACTGCCCTACTGAGGTTTGAAGAGAGAACAGTATTGATGTCGATTTCAGATTCCTTCATATGGGGATGAATGTCTATGTGAACTCCTGATTCCTTACACAGCTGTAGCAAGGTGTTAATATTGCTCTGTGACAAACGTAGGTATCTGGATAAAAGAAAAAAGAGAGAGCAAAAGTATCTTGCAAGTATCTCAGAAACTTTGGTCAAAATTTCCGTATGTGGTGTATAGCTATAGGCACATAACTCTACCTTTAGAAAACTAGGTAAAAATGGTTTGAAGTCAATGGGAGCTTGAGTGCTCAGCACCTTTGAAAATCAGGTCATCTATTAAGTTCCTGATTTTAGGTATTTGTATTTCAAAATGTTGAGCTGTATTTTTATTTTTATGTACATAGTCAAATGAAATAATTTGCAAACTGCAGATTTGCACGGTAAAGATGGTTACTCTGTATGTCTACAAGTTATTTTTTGCCTCGGTTTTAAAGATTTCCCTGGATTGCATTCTCTAGCAGTAAGGATATTTGATATTTCAAATGGTTCTAAAAAGAAGTAAGTATTTCTCATTATCATTCATCATCATTTTGAACCAACCCACATTACTAGTCACCATTAAAAGGTTATTTGCCAAAAGCTAGCACATAATGCTGCATGCAGTTATTTCCTATGCAAGCTCCAGAAAATAAATATTTTGTGCAGCATTCTATGCTAGCTGTTGTTGGGAGAGGGTGACTTCTTAATGATACCCATTATACCTATTTTCAGAGATCTGTAAACTATGGGGGAGTTCTCTTTGCTATTTTCACAAAACATTTTCTAACCTGCAGCTCAAAAATTCTTCAGGTCTGATCTGTGGCAGAGTCACTGTTTGTTTGAATTTTTCCTCTTCCCGAGCTCTTTCAAGCAAGCCCTTCAACCTTCTTTCAAATGCTGGGGATCCAGACGCTGTTTCGTGCAGATGAAGTTTAGAAAAAGAGAACTTCTCTCCTGCTACCGATAGCTTTTGCAAGGAGGGAAACATGGATATTGCCTCTTGCATGGAGAAACTGTTATCCACATAAAGTTGTCTTGCACTGATATCCTTCTTGGAGACACTGGCAGTTGGGTGAGGATTGTAAAAGCTGCCTCTTGAGCCATAGGAAGTTCTAGCAGATACTGTCTGCATGGACAAGTCAGTTCCACTGAAGGGTGTGAAATCCTTGGAGTGTTTCTGGTCTGAAAAAGGTCAGAAATATTAAACGTCTTCTCTCTCTCTACTCAAGGTGCTTATATGGGCCCTATTACCATAGTAGCTGAGCACCTGACAATCTTTAATGTACTCATCCTTACAACACCCTTGTGAGGTAGGGAAGTAAGATTATCTCCATTTTACAGGTGAGGAATTGAGGCATAGAAAGACTACATGATGCGCCCAAGGTCACACAGAAAGTCTGTTGTGGAACAAGGAATTGAAACCAGGGCTCCCCAGTCCTAGATTAGTACTCTAACCATTGACCCATCCTTTCTCTTTTATTGCTCAACAAATATTGCCCATTTTGAAACAATTGTTATATGTTAATTGCTGTGTAGAGCTGTAGAAGTACAGATTTCTTGGCAATAGATGCATGTTGACTATTATAAAATATTTTGAAAATAAAATACAAGTCTGGATGTTTGAAACGTGTCATCTCCAGGATGAAATTGACTAAGGCCTTGTCTACACTATTGGGGGGGGGGAATCAATCTAAGTTGCACAAGTTCAGCTACGTGAATAACGTAGCTGAAGTCGACGTAGCTTAAATCTACTTACCGTGGGGTCCACACTATGCTGTGTCAACTGGAGACACTCTCCCATCAACTCCCCTTGCGCTTCTCGTTCAGGTGGAGTACAGGAGTAGATGGAAGAGCGATCGGTGGTCGATTTAGCGGGTCTTCACTAGACCCACTAAATCGATCGCCGATGCATCGATCGCCACGTGTCAAAGTTCCGGTAAGTGTAGACAAGCCCTTAGTGAATCTAGTTTTGCATCAGTTTTGGACCTGGTCTTCTGGATCTGTACTACTTGGCAATAGAGCTGCTTAAGGATGAAACTTCCAAAGAACTCTAATATCAAGTAAATGTTTTCCATTAAAAAAAAATTTGCTTTTGGTTGTTGCTAATTCAAAGAGAACTGTGTACATTGGTTGCTGTTAAAAATATCAGAAT